AGAGAGAGAGAGAGAGAGAGAGAAAAGGCCAGAAGGGCACATGGCCTCCATCCTGAGTACCCCTCTATTTCAGTCACCTTGGAGTAGGGAAGTACTAGAGGCTTAGGTTGACTGTTATCTCACTAACAAAAAAGGAGCCTCAAAAAAACTTTGAAACAGACTAGTGCAGACCTCTGTGATGGGGGACAGATTCTACAAGGAACGTTGTATAAAAGTTGCTCTGTTTCACTCGGCTTAGTGACACGGAGCAGAGAGGAAGGGGTGAGCTCACTCAGGAGCTGACTCAGGAAAGTGGAGCTAGGAAGAGGGCAGACTTCACTCTGCAGCTTTGTGACTTTCTGGGAGATAGAGATATGTCTGCCTGGTGCCTTCCCCAAGAAGCAGGCTGAGTGTAGTGTCTCGGTTTCCTGGCCTGGGCATGAGATGGGGTATGGAGCCCAGGCGGTCTTTGTCGGAGAAGTCAAAACAAGAGCCAAGGCCAGCCCAGCCAAATAGCAAGGGATGGCAGAGTGGTTTCACCTTATGAGCCAACTCTGACCTCAGGATGCTGTGTTGAAAAGGATTCTGAGTTTCTATCTTAGCTGTGTTTCAGATTCCAACAAGCCTGTCATCAGGGGGTCTTCAAACAGCAGACTGCCCCACTCGTGAGGAGGCCGTGTCTGTCTTTTCCTCACCCTGAGTCACAGGGAGCTCTGGTACCTGGGGCTTGGACCCACTTCTCTCTGAGCACAGTCACAGCTGGGCCGCAGGCAGGGCAGATCTCTCAGTCCGCTGACAATGTGGGCCTTCTTCTTCCGGAGCGCTGGCAGGTTGGGACAGTTGTTCTGATCATTGCCCTGGGGACAGGGGCTTAGATAATGCTGTGTGCACTCCTGCCCCAGAGGGCCAGGCCCAGTCCAGAGTGGTGGCAGTCTCTGCACAGCTGGCCAGGAGCGATGCTGGCTGCCTCGCACATAGCCCAGGGGGGTTTGTTTGGAATTAAACAAACTGAAGCATTTAAAGCAATTAGGGCAGTGCTGATACATACTAGCTGCTCAATGAATGTTAATTTACTTTTCCTTTCTCTCTTTAAAAAACGAACTGCAGTAAAATATATATAACATAAAATTTACCATGTAACCATTTCAAAGTATACTGTTCAAGTGGCATTAAATACATTCACAAGGATATATATCATTGATAACCATCATCTCCATCCCCCTCCAGAACTTTCTTACCGTCCCAAACTGAGCCTCCACACCCTTTAAACACAGATTCCCTGTTTCTCCTCTTCCTTGCCCTTGGGCAACCGCCATTCTTTCTACGTTCTATATCTGTGGATTTGATGACCCTAAGAACCGCATATACCTGGAATCATGCAGTATTTGTCCTTCGGTGACTGTCTTATTCCACTCAGGATAATGTCCTCAAGTTTCATCCGTATCGTTAACATGTGTTAGACTTTCCTTCCTGCTTAAGACAGGCCTGATATAGATAGAGCACATTTTGTTTATTCATTTAGCTCTTTGTGGACATTTAGGTGGCTCCTACCTTTTGTCTACCGTGAGTAGTGCTGTCAGGGACACAGGTGCACACATGTCTGTTTGAGCCTCTGCCCTCATTGCTATTGTGTATACACCCAGGAGTGGGTCCTTTATCTTTTGAAACATCTTTGGCAAATTGGACTCTCAAGAACATTTGTAGATGTCATGCAGGTGGGAGTCTGCTTGCCATTGTGTGTACCCACCTCAGACAACTGCTCACTGCAGCTGAATCAGGGCCCACAGATGAGACCCGCAGCCCCCTCCCTGGACGGGTCCTCGCTCACCCCGAACAAGCCTTTTAATTTTCCTATGCCACTGCCTATCCCAGGCTGGAACATTCGTGGACCAACCTAAATGCCTCACTTTACAAGGGCTCCCTGGAGCATGGGCTGCAGCAACAGCCTTTTAACCTATGTCTGCCATCTGTCCTGGTTCCTGTAAGTCCATCTTCCCCACTGGCCCAAGATCTTTTTTTTTTTTTTAATTTATTTATTTTTAGAGAGAGAGAGAGGAAGGGAGGGAGAAAGAGAGGGAAAGAAACATTGATGTATGAGAGGTACATTGCTCCGTTGCCTCTAGCACACCCTCAAATGGGGACTGGCGCATGACCCAGGCATGTGCCCTGACTGGGAATCAAATCAGTGGCCCTTTGCTTTGCAGGTCGGCACTCAATCCACTGAGCCACACCAGCCGGGGCTGGCCCCAGACCTTGCAATACAGTTCAGACCCCACCACTCCCCACTGCCTGCACTTTACGGGATGAGCTCTGGCCTGAGCACACTTTCCAGTCCTTGGATTGCCGCATAGTTCTTCAGAGTTCTGCCCTTTTGATGCCTTTGTTTACGAGGTCCCCTCTGAATGCCAGCCACATGCCGCCCAACCCTCTCATATTTACCTCATCCAATTTATCTTTTAATGCTTTGCTTGAGGACCTGCTCCTCCTTCCTGTGTGGCCTGGCAGAGTGAGAACTCACAAATGTTTGAGAAATTCTCAGGGGAATGGCATTCGCAGTGTCCTCTCTCAAGGTGAAATGCAGGCATGATTTGAATGTTGCTTTAGAGGCAGGGTCCTGCCTACAAAGGCTGTGGGCTCAGTTAAGTCCCACTGGGCATCCCTCCCCTCCTCAGTCGGACAGTTATGTAAAGCTGAAGAAGGGGCACAAAACACCAGGACCTCTTTAAAAGTCACTAAAGGAGTGTGTGGTTGGAAGGTGCATGTGAAACAATGGTGCTGGTGGTTTCTCTTTAAGGATTTATTGCACAAATTTACATGCCTAAACCTAGGTGTATGTTTATATGTGTAGTCTTGGGGCTTTCTCAGTAGCAATGAATAGCACCACCTCTCTGATTAGTTCTCTGGCCTGTAGGGTCCCCTGGAGTGAGGGCCAGAGCAGGGCTAAGCTGTCCTCTGTCCTCGGAACAGCGCTCGTTTCATCTAGGTTGTGGCTTATGTATTAATAACTTCATTTCTTGCTGCCCTCAGTCTGGGAGGTTAGACATCCCCCATGGGCTTCTTGCCCTACATGTGAGCACATTCTTCCTTGTTCTCTGGAACAGTTCAGGCTTAAATATCACCCTTTGCAAAGAAGAATGTAAATGCTAGAGTGGGACAGCGCAGAGTTAGACAGGTTCGTAGATTACAAGTAGTGATTACACCGCTTTCTCCGTACTGCCTGCAGAACAATGAGCACTGCAGACGTGTTATACCCTGTGTGGGGGGACTGCTTAAACCTCCTTGGAAGGGAGGCTGCAAATGCAGCTGCCCTGGTTTCCGAAGAAGATCAGTTTAAAGTGTAAGAGCCCATTCTGTCACCAGGAAGCCAAACCACTGTGACATGGATGGAACCACTTAGCCTCAGAGTCATGGGCAGTGTGTGTCTGACCAATAATTTTTCTATCCTCTGAGTGTTAAAAAGAAACATCTCCCAAAGCCCTGTGTGTGGGGGACAGACCTTCCCTTCCTTTCAGGCCCTCCAGCTGAGGCTCTGTGGAACTGGGCTGCTGAGCATGCGCCAGCCTGGTGTGGGCCTCCATGCTGGTTCTCTTTCTGTTCGAAGTCCCGTCCTAGCTGGGGGTGCTGGGAGAGCCAGATTAAGGCCCTCATCCCAGCCCAGGGACAGGAGTCACTTCATGGTGGTGTCTTTAGTGGTGGTGGGGGGAGGACGGCAAGAGGGGCTCAGTAGGGAACACTTCTTAACTTCTGGTGTTTTCTTCCATATAGAGGGAGCTTTGCTAGCATAACACGCTGGTTGCCTTCTCTCATGTCACTTCCTAGAGGAAGTAGAATTACATCGGGAAGGAGAAACTGGGTTTGCAGGGCCCAGGTATGTTCTCTTCGTGGAGAACCAGCCTGCTTGCAAACAGCACAGGCCTGCTCTGCCCCTCCCAGCTGCAAAAATTCTAGGGGCAAGCCCCCTGCATGGTGAGGGTCTGCACTGATACAGCGCAGCCTCAGATAGGTGGGTGCGTCTGACTGAATCTAGGTTACTGTTAGGAAGCCACTTATTGCAGATATTAGAAGCCCCATTTTCCAGGACTTGTTATTTATAAAGGGGATATTTTGGTTTCCATCTGCTTGGCTTCTTTGACTTATTTCTCAAACACAACTTGGATAGAGAAGTTGGGGGAGACTGGGAAGAGGATGGAGGAGGTCATTAAATTTCAGATGTTCCAAACCCCTCAGTGGCAATGTCGGGGAGTAAGTTGGATGTGGGCTCTGGTACTCAGAGTGTCTTGAGGAACCCCAACATTTAGAAGTGTGTGTAGGAGGACACCCACACAAAGGAGGCAGACCCCGGGCTAGCCCTGGCAGTCATTGAATACAGGATGCTAGCAAAACATCTTTTTTTTTATTGTTCAGCAGGGTTTGGGCTGACAAACACAACTTCCTTTGGAAAATTCTGTATAGACAGCCTAGCCTTATAAAGAATGATTATATTTGGGGAACATTTTTGTATCTTTTAGGCTTTTTTTCCTTTCTCTATAATACCTAGTTGTCAGTCAGTTTTCTTTTGAGGGCAAGGAAGGCAGGAGTGTTTTTATTCATTACAATTGGTGTCTTTTGAAAAAGGACCCCTTAATTAATGTTTATGGGGCACAGAGCTTTTTCAGAGATACCCGTCCTCTCCTAACACACACAGCTGTGCTTTAGAGCCTGATTTTTCACCCAGCCAAAGGACCCCCCGGGATCCATTATTCAGCTCAACCTCTGCCTCTCCACAGCTTTCATAATGGAACCGCTTCCCTGCAAAGCTCCTGCTGGCTGAATCCCATTCATTCCCATGAAAAGGGCTGCCGATATTTAAAGTTCGTTTCAGGAAGGTTTCATAATAAGAACTGGGGAAAATAACATAATCTCATTTTAAAACGTTTCCTTCCTCTGTTCTGCTGATGGAATCAAACAATTCAGAGTTCCATCTGTCCTGTAACAGGTCCAGATTGCACGATGTGGTTTTGAAGTTGTTTCCTTTGTTTCAGGGCCCCTCCGGTGGGATTCCCGCCCTCCCTGGATGCATTCAGACTGTGCCATTTGATCACTGGATTTGCAATTCCAGAAGCAAAATAACGAGCCAGAATTGTATGAAAATGTCACTCTGCCCTGATGATCAGTACCTAGCACTGGGGAGAGAAGTCAAACTCCAGAAGGCAAAGTGGATTTTTGTTTAAAGGAACATTTTCAAAGTTAATATGAAAACACACAAGTATAAAATTAAACGACGACAACCACCCCAGTGGGAATCTGTGTGTAATGTGCCAGCGTGCTCGGAGGTGAGCCGTTCAGTCCCCGCCCCTCCCTGAGGCCCCGGACAACCAAGGCATTGTGTGCGACTACAGGCTGCCCTGAGAGACCCTCCCCGAACAGGATCTCAGTCCTGGGCGAAGGCGGGACGGCCGCCCCCTCCAGCTCTTCCCCTCCGTTCCTTGCCAGTGTTCCTGACCTGCCCATTCCCTTCCCTCTAGCTTCTAGTTAAGGGCTGGTAATTTGTTTTCTCTAAAGGCCATGCCTTATCTGTTCAGCTGCTATGACAGCCTTTGGGCTGGGGCATTGGCTTTTTTCCTGCTCTTGGATTTAAACTAATGTGCAGATTCTTTCTGTGTCACACACAAGTCTGCTGGACCTGAGACTGAAATAGGCTGTCAGCTCCCCCGGTCTCCGGGTTGCCGACTCACAGGCAGGTCTCGGATCCTGCCTGCCTTCATAAACACACCAGCCTCTTTTTGGTAATAAATCTATCTATGCGTACATCCTGTTAGTTCTCTTTCTCTGGAGGACCATAACTAATATAGCTCTTCTCGTCTTAATTATCTGAAACAACCCTGGCCTTTTAGTTCCCTTAAATCACGAAGTTTCTTTCCTCTCTGGGAAACTCGTACCTCTCCTTTGTGTCCTGACCAAAGCCTACTCTTCCTCAAGGGTCAGCCTGAGTATGACTTCCTTAAGAAAGCCTGACCCCTCTGCATGCCCACCCCCACTGTCTAGGTGAAGTCTCTCTAAACTTCTCCCCTGATACTTACCATAACTGTGATTTAAAGGTTTAAGTAGCTTAAGCAATTAAGGGTTTATTTGGGATTTTACCCATTTAGTGCCTGCCTTTCCCAGGTGATACATTCCTCAAGGGCGGAGACCGAATTGTCTTGGTTGACGCTGTGGCACGAGGATGTCCATGGGCGGATGAATGGTTCCGTGGGCCCGTGCGCCCGGGGCTGGCATTATATGGGAAGTGACCACGTCTTGCAGAAGACGGCAGACTTGCCAGGGTGAGGTGAGGAAATAAATAACCTGCCTTCTTTAACCTGTGTCGAGAAGTGTAGATCCTGAAGAGACTGGTGGTTTTTAAATTCTAGCTAGAATTTAAAACCACTGCTTCTCTGTCATGGCTAAGATAAAATTCAATCTAATTAAGGTGACAAGGTGTTTTCCAGTTGGCTAATTTTGCTTGTTGTGGTTTTTAAAGTGTGTGTTTAGCTGGGTTGATAATAAATGACTAAGAGAACAGATGAAATCCTAATTTTTGTCTCTTTTATCCAACACCACTTTCCCTAATGACTTCCATCTGGGGATAAATATGATTCATTACTTGTGTTTTTAAGTCGAAATGTATAAATTGTAGCTCCCTAGTGTGCCTCATTATTTTCACTTTGCAGAGACTTCCTATGAAGCCACGTTGTCCTTGGGCACTGGAGGCTGGCCGGTGCCGGACGAAATGGAGCCGAGCTCGCTGACTGGCTTTCCCACAGACGAGGCGCAGCCGTGGTTCCGAGGGCCTTGCACTGTCCTCCTTCCATGTCTTCTGCCTCCTGCCTCCATTCTTCCTCCCGCACACGGACTGAGCCGGTCTCCATCAGGGGTTTCGAGTAGAATATTTCACTCTCCTATTGAGTTCCAAATTTTATTTACAAGTCTCCAAAGGACATGACATGAAATCAACTGAAGAAAGGGGTTCCAAAATAATGGTAAACTTTGGTAACCTAGGAGGCTGTTCATTAACAGATTAGTTAACAAACATGTTTTGTGAGTCTTCTTTGAGACCTGTGTTATAGTAAATGACTGAGTTACAAAAGTATAGCATTATCTCTTTGTTCCCTATGTAATTAATTTTTATTAATTACATGTCATATGAAATGCAGAAGATGGTGCTGGACCTGGAAAGTCTGACAAGCTAGAGCGGAGAGTATGGGGAAGGAAGGAAAGGAGGACGTCAGCAGGAAACTTGCTGTTTTCTGGTTTGAGGTACTGAGTGCCCACAATGAGACATGAACTAAGATTCATTGAGCTCATTCCTGCTTAGCTTTATTTTTTTTTAAGATTTAAAAAATTTATTTATCTTTAGAGGGGAAGGGAAGGAAAGAGGGAGAGAGAAATATCAATATATGGTTGCCTCTCGTGGGTCCCTTGCTGGGAACTGGCCTGCAACTCAGGCATGTGCCCTGACTGGGAATCGAACCGCAATGCTTTGGTTGGCAGGCCCGAGCTCAATCCACCAAGCTACACCAGCCAGGGCCCTGCTTAGCTTTCTTTTGTGTGGCTGCCTGGAATGCTATTCCCCCAAATATCTTCATGTCCAACTCTCTTACCTTCTTTAAGATTTTCTGCAAATGTCACTTTCTCAACATGGTCTCCTTATCTGCTATGTTCCGAATTTTGTGTCTCCCCCCAAATCCACATTTGAAGCCCTTACTTCCAAAGTGATGGTATGTGGAGATGGCCCTGTTGGGAGGTGATCAGGTCATGAGGGTGGAGCCCTCATGAATGGGATTAGTGCCCCTGTACAAAGACTCCAGAGAGCTCGCTAGCCTCTTCCACTATGTAAGGACTTGGTGAGAAGACTGTCATGAATGAACCAAGATGTGTGCTCTCACCGAACACTGAATCTTCTGGCACCCTGATCTCAGATTTCCAGCCTCTGAAACTGAGAAATAAATGGCTGTTGTTTATAAGCCACCCAATTGATGGTATTCTGTTATATCCCCCTGGAATGGACTGACACTCACCATGCTATTTACAATTGCGCACCTCACTTCGGCCACATTCTTCACCATGTACTAAGTTCCCTTTATCCCTTCCAACTTTTTCTTCTTTTTACTGCCCTTGTCATCTTCCAAACACACATTTACTTTGTACCTCAGTTATGTTTTTTGCCCCTGTTATGAATGTACACTTAATAAGGATATATATTCACTGTTTTCTTCACTGATGCATTTTACATGCCCAGATAAGTGCTTGCATATGTTAGCTACTCATTAACAGGTGCTGAACAAACCCATGATATGGTCACATATTTTTAGTGAATCTACTTTTGTCTATCTTTAGAAGCATCATTACATTGAAATCAGTAAATAATTTACTTATGGACATCTGTTAGTTGGTGCTTGTTCCTTTTGTTTCCTGGTTTTTAAGTAGCTAAGAGAGAATCATTGGGGTGGTAATTTTATTGCCAATGGAAATACTAAATTTGCATCCAAGTGTCAGGTGTCTACTCTCTCTGGATGTTCTGGTTCACACTTCAGGTGCTAAAGACAAGAAATCAGTGGGAGAAGCAGGAGTCAGGATGGGATTCAAATGCTGAACTTTAGGTGAGTGAAGGCTATAGGAAGCCCCATGGGCAGAGACACAGAGTCGGTGAGAAGATTTGCCAATGGGTCATGGGGAACTAAGGTGAAATAGGAGGGAGGGGCTGGATGCTGTAAACCTGGAAAGCTGGGCAGGGGAGTTTTGGTGTTCTGTGCAGAGACAGCGGTGTGGCCAGGTGAAAGCTTGTTTTAGAAGAGTCTAGTGGCTGCTATACATCGGCTGGGCTGCAAAATGGAGTCAGACAAAGAGAAACCTTCTGCAAAGTTGTTACCCACATGCAAGTGAAAGACTGAACAAGGTGAGAGTAAAGGGTTATCTGAGAGATTTTCAGAGAAACAACAAAATTTTTCCCAATTTTTATTATGAAAATTTTCAAACATACAGAAATTTGTGAAGAATGGAATATTGCTATAACTATATACATTTGTATGTATTTGTGTGTGCATATATGTGTGTGTGTGTGTGTGTGTGTGTGTGTGTGTGTATATATAATGGCCTAGATTCAACAACTAAGACAACAGAACTCTAATTGGGTTTTATTTCATTTACTAAGCTTCTATAAGTGGCAGGGTACAATAGGTTCATTATCTAAATAGAATCATATTTTTCCAATTAGACCTCAGAATCAACATGTGATCATATTTTCTCATTATAATTTCAGTACAGTCAAAATACCAATACCATTTTTAGTATACTTACTCCTTGAATAAGAACCTCCATGTGAAGTCACAATTCATTAACTTAATGAGGAAGGCGGCGTAACGCTGTTTGGCTCCATGCATCTGTGACTGTGATCTTTGCCAGCAAAATATTTTTTAAATGTTCATGTTAGCTGGGTTGAGATGAAACATTTTTGTTTTGTTCCTCTCTAAAGAAAATAAAGGTTGATGTGGTTAATATTTTACGCCAAATATTCTCTGAGGATGAAAGGCTCGTTCATGCTTCACCATGTTAACCTCCCATGTGGGGGGAAAAAAAGGAACAAGTAAGAGTGAAGTATGAAGGTGAAAATACTGAGGAAAATGAAGCTACCAGCCTGACATCTAGTTGGTTTTTTTTATTTCTAGTAGTTTCCATTCCCCAGTCCCCTGTTTTAGATTGTTTTTTGTTGCTGTTTCTTTGTTTCTTTCTTCAGTCTTTAAGGTCTGACCCAATGTTACTTGCTATGCCTATCACTTCTTAGGGTGGGGAGCTGCTGTATTCTTGTCACACTTGTCACTCACCAATTCTCTTGTGGGTAACTTGTTAAAATGCCAGTTCAGTACATTCAAACCATGCAAGTGTCTGTTTTAAAACCATACCTCCGACTCACTAAGGTTGAGGTGTGTGGTGTTGAGGGCCTTTGAGGGCCGCTGAGGGCCTTGACTTCTTTATGTAATGAAGTCCCCTTGGGAGGGTCAAGAGAAATGGTCTGACCTTGAGTTTCAGAGCTATAGACTATCACATTATGTGGGGTTCCTAGCTATTTAGTTCCCATAATCATTGTTCCTGGGTGTGTGTAGTCCTCGTTCTGAGGGGGTAGGATAGTGTGAGGTGCCACACTGCTTCAGAATAGGTTGCTGGGGCCACCAGCTGAGAGACATGCATAGGACCCGAGTGCCAGTCAACTCTGGAGGTAAGCGGGCATGAGGGAGAGCATGGAGAGTTCTCTTGCTTAGTTCCTTGAGAAGAAGTTCCATTCTTCTCCATACACAATTCGTCAGCCAACTCTTAATTTATTTTTCTGGCTAATGAAGACAGTACTCTGTTCCTTTTCCCCATCTTTTAAAATTCATTTTTACTTGCACAAGTAACACATGAATACATTCTATTTATATTTGTCAAAGAAAATTCTATATAGATAAAGACAAAAAAAAAAAACCCCTTTAATTCCCCAGTCCCCAACCTAGCTCCTTCCGCAGAGGTAGTCGCTATTATCAGTTTGGTATAAATCTGCCCAGATTTTCTTGTATGCATTTGCATGACCACATTTACATAGAGAAATATATAGTTTTGTGGATACATTTACATAGGTAATGCCGTGCTTTTTGTAGTGTGCTGTTGCAGCTTCCACTGAACAACGTGCCTTTGAGGTCTTCCTGGAAGATTTTTATGTGGTCTTTTCCATATAAATCTACTTCATTCTCTCTTTCATGGCTACATTGTATTTCATGGACATGCCAAAATTTAGCCAGTCTCCCTGATGATGGCTATTTAAGTTGTTTCCTTTTTAAAAAATCTTAAACATTGTAATAAACATCTGTTGCTTCTTGGTGCACATACTTGAGTAATTCTCTAGGACAGGTGGAAGCTGGCCCAGACACCTGAAAGTGGCTTGCTGGTGGAAAGTCACGGACACTTCATTAAAATAGTTACTGCCAACTTGCTCTCCCTCAAAAATGGTATCAGTGCACCACCGATGTGTAGGAGAGAATGTTTCTCCACCTTGGCTATGGCCAATCTTGACTTTTTACCACTCTGTCTTGCAAAGACATAATATCTCACTTCCAGTTATAATTTGACTTTTTCTGAGAATTAGTGGGGGTGGAGGAAATTTATTAGCCGCTCACCTGCCATCATTTTTTTCTCATTGAGATGCCTTAGTTGTTTCTTTTAACAAATATGTGCATGCCTAGTTACAGAACAGTGTGTGTTCTCGAGGGATTGAAATGGAATGTTTCCATCTAGCCCTGGCCCCTCTCAGCAAGTGAGACGTGGTATCTGGTTTGGAGTCTGGACTGTGGGACCAGGGGAGATGTTGCCACACATCTAAATGGTTTGAAAAGCGTACAGTTGTTAATTAGTAAGTGCAATGGCTTTCAGTGACAGCTATTCTCTTTACTTTCAAGGCTTTATGATGTTGAATCAGATTTAAGTACTTGCCCATATCTCTTTTACAAGGTCCGATTCTAAAATTTATGGCTCCTGATTATCCCCGTCTGTGTGGTTTTCATTAATTGGCAGAAATATCAAGGGCTTTGCTGAGATCTTCTCATCAAGGACAGATCTAAGGATGTCATTTTCCCAGGTACGTTTGATCCAGTCACATAGCCTTTCCTCTGAACAGGAGACACATTTTCATGCCATGACACCTTGACTTCCAAAACACATGTTGTAACTTTTACCTAGACCCTCTGCTTCCCCATGCCCACTAACCACAAATGTTCTGCAGTCACCCTAGGTCTCTGAGCACAGCTGAAATCTTGAGAAACCCCTTGGGCTGGGAGCCGTGGGTGGGGCTGCCAGCAATGGCTGCTCTCTGGTTGGTTCCCCTTGCCTGACTCCTCTCAGAAGAGCCTTTTCCACTTCACAGTTCTCTGCTAGCCACACCTGTGCTGCTTGCCCTCTGACCCCTCCCAATCCAACCCAGCTGTTTCCCCTCAGTCTCCTCCCCACGTTCTGCAACCTGATCCTGAAGCTTCCTCTACCTACCAGGAGACTGACTTGGTATCTTCTACGAGGCCTGGGCGGTGTCTGCCACTGAGCCCCGGCCTCCCTCAGAAACTCAACAGCTACACGCCTCCTATGCTATTTCCTGGCTCTCCACCCCCAAAATGCACTGACAGTGACCAGATGAATGCTTTAGTGACCAGTCACTGGCATGGTTTCAAGTTACCACCTGCTGTTGTGTTCAGAACCTGTTTGTCCAGGTGAGTGCTCTCTACCTTACATGGTAAGGTCTTAAAACTGGAGAGTGAGAGAGACCAGTTTTATGCAAATCTCTTTATTCAGTGCTTAGCCCAGAACCATAAGCAATTGGATGCTTAATAAATACTTGGTGATTCTACAGGTGATTATTTCTTTAATTATGTATTTCTTGAACTTAGTGGAAGGTTGGTGGACTAGGGATAGAATGGTAGTGATTATTATTATTTTTTAAAGACAATTTATTTTTAGAAAGAGGGGAAGGGAGGGAGAAAGAGAAGGAGAGAAACATTGATGTGAAAGAGAAAAAACATCAGTCAGTTGCCTTTTGTGCATGCCCTGACTGCAGACCAAACCCACAACCCAGGCATGGGCCCTGACTGGGAATCAAACTGGTGACTTTTCACTTTGTGGGATGACACCCAGCCAACTGAGCCACACCAGTCAGGGTGGTAATAATTATTTTTAAAAGCTTTTTCCGGGGGTTGAAGTTCTAATTTTCTAATATGCCCAGTTCCTTAGAGGGTCTGATTTGATGCATGGTTCTGGAAGTGTAAATCTTATTTTCCAAGCCAGGTCGTGTTTAGTCCCAGAATGAGTTGTTATGAACAGATCTGAACAAACACAAGTGAGGTCATCCTGTTCTTAGCGTTAGGTTGTTGCAGGTCTGCTTTGGAGGCTTGTCTTCCGGAACCTGATGAAACAGGAATGGTGCAGAGTCTTTCCCTGCCCCCGTGCCCCCTCTGACTCTCTCGCGTCTCTACATGGCCAGGGCATCTGGCTTTGTGACAGACTTTTCTTCTTAAACAGCAAATGTACACAATTTAAAGATATTTAAAAAAAATGTGATACACGTCTGTTAGTGGGTATATGTATTATTGTAAAGACTAGCTAATTGTACATAGGATTTGGAATCAGAAAAAGCTACGGGTTGTTGTTGTTATTGTTGTTTTAATTTAAGCAATCTAACCTTTCTTAATTTCAGATTTCTCACACTAACATAGGTGAAATAACATGAAAAAAGAAATGTGAGTAGACTAATATATTGCCTCTTGTAGCTTTATGTTCTCACCAACAAGGCACTACCAGAGGGCCACCCTGACAGTAATACTGAGCCTGTGGGTAAGACCTGGCTCTGAGGACTGGGGCATTCTAATCCTGGCCTGACCAGTGACTCACTTTGTGACATGGGACTGTTGATTTTCCTGTGCAAGTTTCAGAATTGTAAGATGGGGACCAGAGCATCTGCGAGGATGATGTCTCCCACCCCAAGTGACCCAGAGGAAAAAGTTGCTGCATAACTACAGAATGGAAAGGACTTGCCTCCACACTGAATGTCACAGCTTAAAAAAGAACTCAGGACTTCCTGCCTCATGGTCTAGTGCCCTGGCCAGATGTTTGGTGAGAGAGGAAGTGGAAGGAACTGGCTCCAAGAAACTATCTGCTCTTGCAAGTGGCCGATTGGCCTGGCATCAAGGGACTTTCCCGGCCACTTTGTGAAGCTGGGTTCTTGCTGGCTCCATGGTGAGGACCAGGGACACTGCTGCTCCGAAGCTGGGTGTGGGTGGAAGCTCATGCCAGCCATGCCACCGCTTACTCCGTGTGCTCCCAGGGCCCGCGGCAGGCTCGAGCCTGGTGTGAACAGAGCTGGAATAAGGACTCTAATTGGAGGAGAGGGAGAGAGAGAGGTGTGGGTGGTAGCGGGGGTGGAGTAAGGAAAAAAAAAGAGGCCAGGGGAAAGAAAGTGGGCTCTCTTGTCCCATTTAACTTAATTTTTATTTCGAAATTCTTTTCCTGTCCCTTTGTTCCAGGCTGTCTCTTCCGCTTTGCTTCCTGATGTTCAGACTGTTGGCTTTGGTGTGTCTGATCCCGCTGTTCGCTCTGCCCTTTGACTGTTTTCCACTTCTGCGGCGGTGATCCAGGTAGTTTTTCTCCACTCCTGCTGATTCCTGCAGTTTCTAGAACATACTTTAGAAACAGCACTCTAAGAATGGGGTGAAAAGCCCTATTTATTTTTTAACAAGAACATATTTTTTTCTTTCTCTTAAAAATAAAAACACTCTTTATCTTCCTCTGATTTCTACAAGTCTCATTGTTCATTTTCTCTAATACCAATTTACTCCTTTCCCCCTTGTTCCCCTCACCATGAGTTGTTTTTTTGTCTGGTGACAGCTTTACTGAGCTATAACTCACATACCATACAGTTCAGAAGGGTGCAACTCAGTGGTTTTTAGCATATGTACAGAATTGTGTATCTGTCTCCACAATCGATTTGCTATCATTTTCCTCACCCCCAAAAGGAATCCTGCACCTCTTAGTCACTCCCAATCCCTCCTCTCCAGCCCCTGGCAACCACTATTCTATTTTCTGTCTTTGTAGATTTGCCTACTCTGGACATTTTAGATAAATGTATTCATATAGTATTTGATCTCTTGTGAGAAGTTTCTTTCACTTAGCCCAGTGTTGTCAAGGCTCATCCACGTAGAATGTGTCAGTTCTTGGTTCCTTTTTATTGCCAATACCCAGAGCTTTCGTGTGTCCACATGGGACAGATTGCGGTCAGGGTAAGTGTTGGCGGCCATGAACAGGAAGATAAATCACATGGAAAAGAATGCAGAATAATAGATGATTGACATATGGTGTGAGCCTTTGCCAAAAATAATGCTGAAATCATATTGAGGAGCATTAAATACATTTGCAGGTAATATGACAAAAACTCCAGAATTCAGAAAGGAACCAGTCCACAAAATATACATTCTCTCCATGCAAATCTAATGTTCCCAAACACTCACCTATTGTCCCTTTCTCCCTTCTTCCCTCTGGTCTTTCTATGGAAAGGAGCAGCATGAGGATGTACTCACACCTGTGTATTTCAGTTCCAGTCTTGGTCAACAAAGAGGGAAAGCATTTCATTATTGGGACTTTGAAAAGGCCCACATAGCAAAGCATTAGGCAACAGTTATATTGAGTAGGTTTTTTTAAAATAAAAAAGAGCCCTGCCAGGTAGCTCAGTCCAGGTAGCTCAGCTGGTTAGAGCATTGTCCAGATACACTAAGGTTACAGTTTCGATCCCTGGTCAGGTCACATACAAGAAGGAACCACTGAATGCATAAGTAAGTGCAACAACAAATCAGTGTTTCTCTCTCCTTCCCTCTCTTCTTCCCTCCTTCTCTCTCCCTCTTTCCCTTCCTGTCTCTCTAAAATCAATAAATTAACAAAAACAATAATCATAACAATATGTTCTCAGTCAGTAGGAGGTGATAAAGGCCCAAGATATTGATACGAGACAGTTTCCAGACTAAGTAGAATTGAAGCCCGTTGCCATAACAAGAAAGAGAGTTAACAGGCGCAGGAGCTGGGAGCAGATATCGGCAGATATGTGTGGTGAGACAATCAAGGAAATGGGGTCTTGATTTCCCTTTATTCTGGCGGAGGTCAGAAACCTTCCCCAGGGTCTCCATTGTGACAATCAGATTGTAAACTGCGTTTTAATATTGCAGCAGAAACAGCCGACCATGATTACTGTCCAGATCGCAAGTCACCAGCATTAATGTGAACTGTACGCTACGTGAGGAATACATGAGCAGGGTGGGAAAGTTCCCCTCATGCAAAAATATCTCAAGAATTATATTAATAGCTATAAAATCCATTAAATATAATTACCTTGATTAATGTGGCTTCAAAACATTAATAATAAAGAGGGAAAAGTCATTTAAAAGCTCTGGGGTGGCTGACATTAGGATATTTTGGGACCGGAAAGAGAGAGAGAGTCAGAGTGTGACTTACCGTGACCCACTGTCAGGTGACGGGCTGCTGTGAATTCTGAAATTCTGAGGCTCACACTCAGCCTGAGAGCTCTCACCTGTGTGTCATGTTCTCCGAAGGTCCTGAGTGACATTGCTTGTGCCCCTGGAGTTTTATGGAGTTCATGGGGACAATTTTTTTTAATTTACAGTCTTTGTAACTCCAGGACCCAGACATGCATTCATAGGGCTGGGAGGAAGAGATTATGCTAATGACTGCCAGACTGCATTCAGAGTTCGTTCTTGATTCAGATATGGAATGAGCAGGTATTACTATTGATGAGGTTAAGCTGGGTGCCGGGGACAAAACCATGAATAAAATCATCATGGTCCCGGTGAGGGACTGAATGCACCCCCAACCCCATTTATATGTTTGAGTCCTAACCTTCAATACGGTGCTTGGAGGTGGGGCCTCTGAGAGATGAATCTTGAAGGCAGACCCTTCATGAATGGGATTAGTGTCCTTGTAGAAAAGACCCCAAGGAGCTCCCTCACCCCTTCTCGTGAGGTCACAGCAGGAGGACAAATGTCTATGAACCTGGAAGCAGGTCCTTCCTAGACACTGAATCTGCCTCCAAGCTTGATCCTGGACTTCTAGTCTCCAGAACTGTGAAAAATAAATGTTTATTGTTTATAAGCCACCCTGCCTATAGCAGCCTGAACTAAGGCCTGTTTGCAGAGCTTTTAGTGCCTGGAGAAATGGGCATTAACTATGTATTTGGTTGTGGTTGCAGGAAGTGCTACGGAGACTGTTCAGGGGTTTGAGAGTGCTTAAGGGGACCTTGCCTGAGGGGAAACTTGCTCTAGCACTCTGATAAGCCAGACAGAGTTTCTGGGTCAAGCCCATGGAGTCCGTGTCTTTCCTCCTTTAAAATGAATTCTCCGCCCTCTTACACATAAACTCTGGCAGGCCACCCCACCATTTCTTCAGAGCTTGCCTAAATATATCCCATCATAGGCAGCAGTCATAGTCTGAACTCAAGCCAAGATCCCTATCGTGTGTGACAGGAATTTTTACTGTTTTCTCTCTTTTTAAAATTGTGGTGAAAAAAATACATAACAAAATCTAGTATCTTAACCAATTTATGTGCGTAGTTCAGAGGCGTTAAGTCCACTCATACTGTTGTGTGATTATCACTGCCATCCAGCCCCACAACTTTCTCATCGTTCCAGATGGAACTCTGCTCATCACACTAAACTCCACATTCCCCCTTCCGAGCCCCCGGCACCCAACGTTCTATTTCTATCTATAAGTTTGACTACCCTGGGATACCTCATACGAGGGGACTCATACCGTGTTGTCCTTCTGTGACTGGCTTGAATCACTTATCATAATATCCTCAAGTTCTATCTGTGTTATAGCATGAGTCAGAAATTTGTGTGTATATGTGTGTTTTAATAAACTGTAAATACTTGGACTAAAACTATATTTTCAGGGTCCCTGCAGGACACATGATTTAGAATATTAACATAAATGTTGAGAATTTAATGAAGGGACTATTTCTGAGGGTGTGGGTGTAATAAAACCAACAAGGGTTCTTAAGCCCCCCCCCCCCCCCCCCCCACCGAGCTGGCAACACTGGGAGGCTGTTCCCACTCCAAGGTCTGAAGGGGCAGGAGGAGATTATGATGATCAGAACCTGGAAGAAGAATTGTGGCTGGGGATAGGGTTGCCAGACAGAAGTTGAAGCCTTGGGGAAAGGTGGAGACAGACCCACCACTTCCCTCTTCTCTAGCCCCCCAACCTTCCGCAGGTGCTTTGCACTACCCAAACCAACCGTGAGCCAGAGGGCAAGATTGGCCCCCCAGGCACAGAACACAGTGGGAAAGGACACAAGTTGGATCTGGAGGAGCAAACAACATATCCATTCTATCGGCATTCTCCAGGAAATTGGGTGAGGTGAACGGGTGCAAATGGGGAAGCTGAGAACAGGGGAGGGTTGGGTTTCTCTAAGAGAAAAGGTGAGGTATGGGTATTGCTGAGAAGGAAAAATAGGTCTGGAAGGACAGAGAGAGAGAGAAGGGGAACGAGAATCCTCAGGAGGAAGGAGAAGGGATGGCTAAAGAGGATTTACCACACGAACAGCTGAAACTTTTTTCTGTGTCCTCAAGGGACTTTGAGTGAAGATATGCTTCATTTTCAAGGCTTTGTAGAATTTTGAATGTTGCACTACACTGGGACCTGGGAACAAGAAAGTTCAGTATTCCCTGGTATGGGAGGCAGAATAACAGCCTCAAACATGTCCACATCCTAATTGACAGGCCCCATGAATGTGTCAGGTTATTTGGAAATGGGGCATTAAGGTTGCAGATAGAATTAAGTTTGCTGATTAGCTGACCTTGAAATAAGAAAGATATTCTGGGTTATCTGTGTGGGCCCACTGTCAGCACCAGCATCCTTAACTGGGGCAGAGGAGGACGAACAAGTTGGTGCCAGATGAGGGCCACATGAGAGAGACAGGACTGGCCATTTGAAGATGGAAGCTGACCACAGACCAAGGAGTGCCGGAGCTTCTAGGGACTGGACAAGCTCCTCTAACACCCTGATGTTAGTCCATTAAGACACATTTCAGACTTCTAACCTCCAGAACTCAAAAAGAATACATTTGCACTGTTTTAAGCTACTGGGTTTGTGGTAATTTATTATAGTAGTAATAGGAAATTAATGCACTGGATTTTATGAGTTTGGGGTGAAGTTAGCTAAATTTTTTATTCAAAACATATAGCTATTTCTCATTGCCCTAAATATTATATTTAAAGCTAAACTTGGAAACTTTACTAATGAGAGGTTTAATTAAACTACCCAACTTCCTCATATGAGCTAAAAAGTACACTAGTTAAAAGAGGGGCCGGGTCTGCACACCTGTTTCCTGTGTGCAGGGAACATATTATTTGTCTTCTCTCAGTCCTCATGGGGCTGCTCTGGTCCTAATTCCTTGATTGATGGAGTGTCTGTGATGTTCACGTGTCATCATCAGTTTCATTTGACCAGTGCTTTCCAGACTCCACACTCTATATTTAAGGCTCTCCTTACAGGTAGTTTTGCATGCAGTCCATCATGCAAAGGTTTTGCTGTTCTTTGTGGCCTCTTTTTCTTTCTTTTTTGCCTGCACAGAGTCTCATTTCAGTCTTGTTGGACACACAAACACAGCAAACTTGTGGTTGTATGAGTTAGAAGACTAGCTTTTTGGCAGCAGACGACACCGATGAGGTAAACCCTCCAATTTTAGGCATCTGGAACAGGTATGTTTTTCTACGTTAGCATTTCCACATCTGAGAGAGACATGTTCAGGCATTGCTGACAGGAATACAGAACCGTTCGTCTCCTCGGGAGGAGACTGTAGCAATATTTAATAAGACAACCTCAGATGGGGCTCACTTGTCTGAAGTCAAGGTGTCAGGAGGGCTGCAGCGCCTTTGACCCACTAATCCAATTTCAGGGAATCTACTCTGAAGAAGCACCCCTTGAAATGCAAAGCAACATATCAAAAGGTTATTTATTGGGGCATTACTTACAATAGCAAAATATTAAAAGCATAGTCAAAGTTTCCATCCATAAGAGACTGGTTGAATTGCTCATGGAATAGCCAAGTAGTAGAGTATTATGCAGTCATATAAAAAATAAAGAAATTGCTAAAAATTAGAAGAATGTCCAAGGTATATTATCAAGTGAGAAAAAAAGCAATGTGGTGAAGAACATATAAAGCAGGCTACCATTAGTGTAAAAAAGGGGGAGGAGAAAGAGTGTACATGTGCGTTGGTCTTGTTTTTATTACTGGGGAGACCAGAGTCAGGGGGATTCCCCTCCCTGGTTCTTGCCTTGCTTGCAAGAGAAGAATTCAGGCAAGAGACAAGGTTGTATAGTGGAAGTGAAATAGCAAGTTTATTTATAAAACACAGGAGTACAAACCTGCAAGCAGACACCCAGCTACTCAGGATGCCCTACATAATGAGTCTTAATGCCCTATGTATAGAGGACATAAAGTTGTTAATAAGTTTGTTTTATACACTTGACCCAGAAGGTATAAGCAGGTGCTCAGCTAATCTGAGTGCCCTAACTATTGAAGTTCAGGGGTTATATACTTTAGCCAGCTCCTAGGTGCCCCCTCCTTCTCTCCTCTTCCAGACTTTGGGATTAATTTACAATCATAAAGGCTTTCTTTCCCAGCTAGTGAAATTGCTACAGAGGCTTCCTTTCCCAGCTAGGAAAATCTTTACAAAGGCTTTCTTTTCCATGGACGTGATATACACAGAATCTTAAGGCAGGTCCCCTTCCTCCTCCCTGCCTTAGTTTACTGTCTGTCCTCCCTAACACTTTCACAAGAATCATGGGAAATATAAACCAGAAACAAATGAAAATGATCACCTATAGGCCATAGGTATGAACAAAGTGGAGGAATAGGGATGAGACTGTCAGTGACACCTCTAAGTATATCTTTCTTTTTTCGTTTTGAATCATGTATTTCATTTTATTTTTTCCTTTTTTAAATATATTTTATTGATTATGCCATTACAGTTGCTCTGTTTCCTCCCTTTCATTCTCCTCCACCCTGCACACCCCTCCCCTACCATCCCCCCCTTTAGTTTATGACCGCATGTCTCAAGTTCTTTAGATTCTATATTTCCCCTACTATTCTTGCCCTCCCCCTATCTATTTTCTACCTACTGTCTATGCTACTTATTTTCTGTACCTTCTCCCCCCTTCTCCTCTCCCACTCCCCTGTTGCTAACCCTCTATGTGATCTTCATTTCTATGGTTCTGCTCCTGATCTAGCTGTCCTCTTAGTTTGCTTTTGTTGTAGGTGTGGTTGTTAATAACTGTGAGTTTGCTGTCCTTCCACTGTTCATATTTTTTATCTTCTTTTTCTTAGGTAAGTCCCTTTAACATGTCATATAATAAGGGCTTGGTGATGATGAACTCCTAGAATTTCATCTTATCTGAGAAGCACTTTATCTGCCCTTCCATTCTAAATGAAAGCTTTGCTGGATAGATCAATCTTGGATGTAGGTCTTTGGATTTCATGACTTGGAATACTTCTTTGCAGCCCCTTCTTGCCTGTAAGGTCTCTTTTGAGAAATCAGCTGACAGTCTGATGGGAACTCCTTTGTAGGTGACTGTCCCCTTATCTCTTGCTGCTTCCAGGATTCTCTCTTTCATTTTAATCTTGTTTAATGTAATGATGATGTGCCTTGGTGTGTTCCTTCTTTGGGACTCTCTGAGCTTCCTGGATTTCCTGGAAGTCTATTTCCTTTGCCAGACTGGGGAAATTCTCCTTTATTATTTGTTCAAATAAGTTTTCCCCTCGTGGCTGTTCCTCTTCCCTTTCTGGTACCCCTATAATTCGGATGTTGGAACATTTAAAGATGTTCTGCAGGTTCCTAAGCCTCTCCTCATTTTTTTGAATTCTTGTTTCTTCATTCTTTTCTGTTTGGTCATTTTTTCCCTCCTTCTGGTCCACTCCCTTGATTTGAATCCCAGTGTCCTTTCCATTACTATTGGTTTCCTGTGCATTTCCCTTTATTTCAATTAGCTTAGCCTTCATATGTTCCTCTAATTTGTGACTAAAATCAACCAGTTCTGTGAGCATCCTGATCACCAGTGTTTTGAACTGTGCATCCAAAAGTTTGGCTATTACTTCGTCGCTTAGAGTTATGGGCTCTGGGGCTTTGAGTTCTTCTTGAGCCATAATGTTTTGCTCTATTTGCGCCTGTTATGTGTGAGGAGCAGAGACTTAGGTGTTCAGCAGGGCGGGGTGACCCACTCGCTGGTTTGTGACGCTGTATGTGTGGGCGGGGTCAGAGAGGGAGCAGTAGCAATCCCCTCTGCTGCTTCCTGCTGGGGCCTACGAGGTCCTCTCACTGCTCGCTCCTTCACCAGTTTATCTGCGCATGAATGAGTGACTACGGTCAGCCCTCAGTGGGTCCACCCGCCTGCTGGTACTCCACACCTGGGATCTGCCCATGGCTGCCTGTGCGCCTGGGTTGCATGCCCAGGTTGGTCCGGTGGATCTTTCCTGCCCGACCCCCACTCTGCTGCTAGCTCTGCCCCTCTTACGGGTTTGGCTGAAGGGTTTGTTGTTGTCAGACTTCCATCTAGTTCAATTTTCTGTGATTTGGATGCATTTTTGTTGCTAAAACTTTGTTGTTTTTAAACTTGGTTGTGCAAGAAGGCACAGTGTTTCCACCTATGCCTCCATCTTGCAGAAGTCTCTCTGAATCGTGTATTTTAAATATTCAAAAGAAATTAAATGAAAGAGGACTTAAAAACCACTTTAATGTTTAGTGCAAACAGAAATAAAGGAATCTAACTGGTTAGCAAATTGATAATAAAACAACACAGATAAAAATTACAAATAAATCCCTGGCTGGTGTTGCTCAGTAGATTGA